TGGACGTTTACTTTTGAGTTCATTGTTTTCATTTGTAAACACGCGCAGAAATCTCACTTCTTCAAAAGTTGAACAGCGACTGATAAGCAAAAGCATAAAGCCCAAAATACAATAACGCAGTGGCAGTGACAGTTTTTCGAAATCACCTGTTTTTTAGGAAGTGTGATGTCCAATGAAGCGACTCACAACACAGCAGTGGCAGCTGGCAGTACTGCTCAGTTTAGCCCAAATTGTAAATTCCCTGCCACTGCTTTCATCGCAGCAAACTTCGCATGTTGAATTTGACATAAATGAAACGCAGCCAACTTCTGTTTATGTTACTGAAGCCTAAAAGACAACGACAAAGATGTAAACAAACAAAAGGGAATGCCAAAAAAGAAGGCAGTCACTGACAGCGCCGTATTGTGTTTGCCGCGGCAGTGACTGCCAAAATTAGCAGTAACAGCTGATTTTAAAATTTTTGCCTAGATATTCAAAAATAGTACCACTAAATGCTTGCTTGATAATTTCGGCCCCCTACCTTTCAAGGTTTTTCCTATATATATACTGTATAACAAATTATACTCCCAACGCTAACAAAATAATTAGTAAATTGATGTAAAAAGTGGATATGTGGGTCATCCGGTTCTGTATCAAGTTATTCTCTCTAACTTCAAAGCACTTCCATTTAAAAAGGGTAAAAACCTGGCTGCAGTCGACAATGAGCAAAAATAGTTCAATTGTTTATTACTTTGTCTTTAGGTTTGTGTATTTTCTAAGCGTACAACGAAAGTTTTGTATCACAGAACCAATCTGAGATTATTGATAAAACAATAGACCGGTTGGGTGAACAGCCAAGACGTTTATTTCTTAAGTGTGACAAAACAAAATCAAGTAATACGTATATTAGGATAAATGAATATACCAGCATAAAAAATCTGCATACTCAAAATATTCAATACGTCCCCATGTATATAATTTAAGAGAAGATATTTCGCTGCATAGCAATGATTATAAATTATTAGTTTACCTTACAAAATTGCGGAGGAATATTACAGAGTATACGGAAAAAAGTTAATTTTTTAACATTTTTTATTTTGAATAACGTCTGGTTTGCAGGTATGTACAGCTATGAATGAATACATTTCCCAGTACTGCAAAGCTTTTGACTGTCATTCAACTGGGAGTGGCCCGCGTGCGCTGGGTTTGGGTCCCGCCACGTTAAAACCCTGCCTAATGAAAAACAACACATGCCTCGGATGATACCCTTTTCTTTTGATGACGATCACGGCAAACATAGGAAGGACTATGATTTTAGGGTATGTACTTGGAATATCCGAACCCTTAAACGGGATGGTGCCTCTGCCCGGCTGGTTGATGTCCTAGGGAAAATAAAGGCTGACATCACCGCCATCCACGAAATGCGATGGACGGGGCGAGGAAGGTAAGCGTGGAGCCTTGCGACGTATACTACAGTTGCCACGTAAAGGAGTGCAATTCGGTATTGGATTTGTGGTGGGAGAGAGACCGGCGTTCACTCTAGTGGACGAAAGTCTAGCCACAATCCGCATCAAAGCGAGATTCTTCAACATCTCATTCATATGTGCCAATGCCCCGATGGAAGCTTAGCTTAGAGCGTACATATTAGCTGAGGGTGATCGACTTCTCCGGGCAGTATGTATTACTGGGTTCTAACAGATCCATCAAGCTCTATGGATGTCTCCACATCTAAAAACGGGAAACCGAATCGAGCATATTGTGACAGACACAAGGCATGCTTCCATGTTTTAGATGTACATACGTACAATCCGAGGGCCAAATATCGACTCGCACTACTATATTGATGCATCCAATATACGACCCAACCTCGGAGCAGCAAAAAAAGGGCCCCCAACAAACCAAGGAAATTTCAACGTCGAAAAGCTGTAATCAAAACAGACGGCCAATGGATTCGGCGCTCGACCCTCACACCTGCTGTGAGAGAACACTCTTCAACAAACCGACTTGCGCGATCAGTGGAACCACATTTCCCGCTCATTACTGGTACGATGAGGAGTGTGAGAAAATGCTTGAAATTCTGGCCGACCGAAAAACACCCGAAATTTTTAGCATAGAGTTGAGCGACTTATGGAAGGTTTCAAGACTCTTGTAGGAACAACCATGGCAACCTAGTGACGATGTCCAGAACGTACTCAGATTATGGAGGAAACACTTTTCCTCACCTTTTGAATGGCAGAAGTGGAGAAGACGAACCCGAGGTCCCACTCGATGACGATGGAGTCGATATCCCAGCGCCCGACTATGACGAAAAGTGCCAAAGCTGCTTGAGCTGATGGCCTGTCAGCTGAGCTATTTAATTACGATGGCAAGGAGGTAATAAGATGCATGCCCGACGACTGGAATTCAAGTGCGCTCTGCCCGATCCACAAGAAATGAGACTCCGCCATGCGTGCTAACTACCGCGGAATCAGCCTTTTAAGCATAGGTTGCAAGGTCTTATCGAATGTATTGTCTACCATAGACCAGGTATTCACAATACGCCAAATCTTGGAAAAGACCCGCGAGAAAAGGATCGGCACTCACCACCTATTTGTCGACTTTAAAGCCGCTTTCGACAGCAATAAAAGGAGTTTCGCATATGCCGCTATGTCTGAATTTGGCATCCCCTCAAATCTCATACGGCTGTGAAAAATTACGTTGAGCCCAGCTCTGCTCTGTTTCCGTTCGCCCCCAGACGGGGTTTCAGACAGGGCGACTGTCTTTCATGTGACTTCTTTAATCTGATGTTGGAGAAGATGATAAGATCTGCAGAACTGAACCGCTCAGGAACAATTTACTACAAGAGCGTACAATTGCTGGCTTATGCCGATGATACTGACATCATCGGTAAGAATAGCCGCGAAGTCTGTCTTGGCTTTTCCAAGTTGGACAAGGAAGCAAAGCGAATGGGTCTGGTGGTAAACGAGGACAAGACAAAGTATCTCCTGTCATCAAACAGTCAGCACATTCGCGCCTTGGCACCCAAGTCACTTTTCACAATTATAATTTCGAGAAAGTACAGAATTTCGTTTACTTGGGAACCAGCATTAACACCGATAATAATGTCAGCATGGAAATCCAACACAGAATCGCTCTTTCCAACAAGTACTGCTTTGGACTGAGTAGGCAATTCAGGAGTAAAGTCCTCTCTCGACGTACGAAAACCACACTATAAGTCACTCATCATGCCCGTGCTGGTATATGGTGAATTAAAATACAGCGGCTCAACGGGCTTGACCATGTCGTTCGAATGGACACGGACGCCCCAGCTCTGGCTTCACTTGGCATTTCCAATTGGCGTCAGTTGGCCAAAATCGCTTTGGCGGTTACAGCGCCAAATAAGAAGAAGAAGAAAAGAATAGATCTATAACCTTATCAGTCACACATAATCCCGACGAAATCCTTGACGGTGGTACCGGGAGGGGAACGGTACATGACGGTAGGAAGCATAGTTTGGGTTAAAGTCTCACACGGACGGGGTTAGGCTTTCGATGCTTCCTCCTCGTAAAATAAACATGCTCAGTAAAAAGTTAACAATTTAAATCGACGAATAGTTTTATATCAACTTTTGTGAACATCTGTTTATTTGTTTTTTGTACAACATATTTACCTCTATTGGTTACAATAATTTTAAGCTATAATAAACAATTTTTTAGTAAGTAAGTTATTGGTTTAGATTTTTTTTGTATGGGCCCCCCACCCCCCTAAATTTCGTTCTGGCTACGCCCATGGATCAGTTACTTAAGAATATATAAACTCCGATCAAAATATAGTACTGAATGCTTGAGAAACAATTATTTAAATAAAATTATCAATAGTGAACGCACTCGGAGCGAATTTTGGAACACGGAGCGAATTATACATATTAATACTAAATAATTTCTAACTTTCTACCATATTATACGTTTATATTTTAATGTAATATGATTAATCACTGAAGAATATATAAATTCCGATCAAACTTCACTACTGAATGCTTGACAAACAATATGCAAATCAAGAGATTAATTGTGAACGCGGTCGGAGCGAGTTTTGGAACACGATATAAAATGTGCACAGAGGAAGTATATTATTTGGTAGAGATCAAAATGCATTTAACAAAGTGTGATTGAATTTTACATTGCTCTCAGAAGAACCATCCTATAATATCAAATTTTAAAAAAAGTATGAATTTTGAATGGTTTGTTTATATTTTTTGACATAATAGTACCTTAAAGGAGAACCGCAGTGAGTTGTCAATAACAGCTTGTTTAATACACCCGTGATACAAATATTTAAAGGTAAAACCGCTTGCTCAATTCGTCGGCCATCATTTATTTTTTGAAGTTAGTTTGTCTACTTACTAAAATTTAAATTTTGAGAGCAGCTCAAATGCCAAATAATAGTAAAACAAAAAATAAATATATGAAAATATTCAAATTTTCTTTTATTTGAGACTGAAAATGAGAATGTATTTGTGAGATTGAAAATTTTAAAACATTTTTGTTATGCTAGCAAACTTCAAAAATGTTCAGGCTGCCTCTCAGCGATTTTACTTTCAAATTTTTGTATCATGAATACACCTTGGTCGAAATATCACGAACAAGTTTTCCTTTATTTATTTTTACTTAAAATCTGTAAATATGTATGTTGATTTTTTTTTCTGTAGAATACGTATTAATTTTTTTTTAAGATTGTAAAAAAGGGAGGACAGTCGGATCTCCGTAACCAGAACGACCGAAATGCGGTTGTATTTTTTGCATAAAATTACTTGTTATTATTGAGATACAGTTTCGCTACTATTTAGAGATTTCTCGACATAGGTACTTGTTCACATTTCTGTTATTTATTATTTTTCTTATTAGTCATTTATAGGTTTAGGCCTTACTGTGGGTGCTTTAAGATTCATTTTGTAAATATGGCCATACAAAAACAATTGTGATATTTTATTTTATTTTAAATTACGGATTTTATTCGTAGAACTTTTTATGTTTAATAGTTTTGAGAACACTTTTTGGTTTTGTTGTATTCTTTTATAACATGCCTTAAACTTTTTTACTTTAAATTATAATGGTGAAGATATGCATTTACCAAGCACTTTAGCTAGGTGCGAGATATTTAGCCTATGCGCGTAAAATCATAGAATACGTATACGGCTGTGTCGCCGCGATTCGGCAACATCTTGTCAAAGTAGAATACATATTGGTGGCTATCACGGAATCCATCTTAGTCTGATTTTTCATAAAATCTACGAAAAAGCGAACACTGAATCTGAACTACTACGAATGCGTGTATTCAAAGCATACGCTGCGCTCGCAGTTATTTAAATTCAATAGCATTTTCGTAGATTTCTCAAAAATTCGGACTAAGATGGATTCTATGACAGCCTTGATTAGCTCGTGCGATTATCGTGCCCCAGAAACTCCAACAAACGCCAAATGGACTCTCCAATAATAGTCGAACGTAAATGACCAACGTGCATCTATATGAGATATGTTGCTTGCGGCAAGTTGGCATGTTAACGCCAGACCGTAAGAGGTTGGAAATCACACGAACAGCATAATCCCTACATTTGATGTAAAAATTTTTGTAAATATTTGCACTAACATAACCATAAACTGTATACCTTTTGAGAAACATATTAATGAATCGAGCACTTGCAACCTCAGTTTAAGCCACAAGAAGCGATTGAACACCATGTTTATTTATTTCGTTGGCTATATCTCTAGGCGATTTATTTGTGCCAGCAACCTTTAGTGTTTATGCCAATGACATGGCACAATTGCATTGATAATAACCAAATTGAGCCGCATTCATACGTGATATAATAACTGGTGTCAGCAAGCTTTGGGAATGCCCAGGAGATGGCGTTTGTTATGCTATCGAAATCATTGCACCGGCGGCGGTGGGCAGTACCGCTGGTACATATTTACCAAAAACAGCAGTGGTTGCGGCGTTTTGTTCTGCAGCAATAGCCTGCAATGATGACACGTCCTATAATGTCGACGAACAAAGATAAAAAAATGAAAATTACTAACCATCTTCAGAATTGCTAATCGATGCTTTAGCTTCATGTTCTCAGTTTCCAGCGTTGTGTACTCTTGATCATCTTCAATTTCAAGTCCCTCGTCATGTTGTGTATTTTCTATTTATGTACGCAAGTGGACTGTCAGATGCTCCTACAAATACAATTAAAAATGTTTAACATGCTCTACATGTAGCTGGAGCTAATGGCAAATATATTGCAGCCACACTTATTGCTGCAGCAGCAGCGAGAGATTTCGAAGGAGTGCGTCTTGTCTGTGAATGAGAAAATAGGATATATTTGGCAACTATGGAATTTGTAACGAACCCGGTTTATCCGGTCAATAGCTGGGCTGTGGCTCAGTCGGATGTTGGGTTCCCCTATCCAAACATTTAAATAAATACGAGAATAATTCTTATAGTGCCGCTGCTTTATTTCGCTATTTAGTTGGCAGTGTTTTCACGACATAACCTATAACGTATTTCCTTTGCAGCGTTTTCACGTCACACCAATATAACGTATTGCCTTGGCAGCGTTTTCACGTCACACCATATACCTTAACTACGTTAGTAGGTAGGTAGCAACTTAGTTTTCACAATCGTTGCTTAGCCTCAGTGTTGGCAGGCTTGAGAAAAACGTCCCTTTTGGTCTGAAAAAACGTCATTTCCTACCCAAAAACGTCTTTTCCATGTATGCACACAGAATTGTTCTTATTAAACTTTTATTGTACACAAAGGTACATATGTACGTAAGGTATATTTAAATGTCATTTCAACAGAGCACATTTAAAATTCATTAGTGGTATTCACCAAAGTGAGCAAGTGGCCTGGCACCCTGGCAAAACAGCAGATAAGCTCAAGCAACGACTGTTGACAACAATTTGGTGAATACCACTATTGTAAACCGGTTTGAGATCGCTAATATAAAAAGCATTTTATACATACACTTAAAATCAGCCGATTAAGTCATCAACATTTTGATCGATTTTGGCCGTTTTTCTTTTGTTTATTTAATGTTTATTGTTTTTTAATAAAAGCCTAGCTCAATATATAACTAACACAATGTAAATCCACATTTCAAACTTTGTTCAAAAATTATAAAAAATACCCAAATTTTCAGCTAGATTTTCAATTTTTATTCAGATTTTCCAGGGTAATGTGCAAGTTTTAAGTTGCTAAAGAACCGCGTCGATTTTTAATATACTTTTTTTCTTGTAGACATTTGGTTAGGATGTCTGTTGACGAAAATGCTAAATTACGTTCTGCTAAGAAGGAATATAGTGCTTTTGCGAACGTGGATTTTAATATGCAATTGCAAACATTTTAATAAGACTTGTAACCTCAAGTGTTTAAACAACGAGCCTTTGAACGCAGGATCCTTAGTCGAAGGATAAAAAAAATGCGCGTACGCTTGGTTTGCATCATATTTAAAAGCTCAGTTAGTCTAGACTTAACTTAATTTAACTTACCGTAAGAAATCATCAATCACGTCAAATTAAGATAAGAGCGGAAATATTTTGTTTTTGTATTTTCTCTTTCAGCGTTTTAACAGTTCGCCATCTAAAATGTCACATCAAAAAAAAATCATGCAAACAAAAATGTTTGCTTTCATTTATTTTTTTAAAGAAATACCAAAACGAGAGTCTGGCAAGCCTGATTCTCTCACCGCCCGCAATTTCCGTAAGGCCGTAACTTAAGAATCTAAAATCTACAGGTTCTTAAGTTTCTTATGGTAAGTTAAGTTTTAACTACCAGTTTCTCATATAACAGGTTGGCCAAAATATTAAGTTACGTTAAGTTGCGGAAATTAAGTCTAGAATAATTGAGTTTTAAGTCATATGTGTCCAAAGAATAAATATCTTTTGAGGCAGCTGCTGCAAAAAACAAAGCTTGTAAAGATTTATTAAGAAAATAATTCAAAATCAGTTCTACTCACAAGATTTAGTAACAAATTTGCCGAAAGTGTGAGCGTAAGTACTTACTCTACAAGCAAATAGTAAGCTATACATAGAATATATTGTGCATAGAGAAAAATTACTGGGAAGTTAAAAAACGTCATTTTTTACACAAAAAACGTTCAAACGTCAACAGGATACAAAAAACGTCCAAATGACGTTAAAAACGTCAGCGTGGCAACGGTGAACTTAGCCTTTCCAATCTTCGTTTGCACGATCGACTGGAGTATATAACTACTCTACCAGAATTAATTTCTAATCCCATTTGCTGGTCTATTTATACTGTCCTGCACGCAGGCACACAGTTATCCTAACAATATTGTTGCTACTATTTCGCTTATTTCCTTGCTTGTTCATACGGCAGTACCTATGTACTCCAATGCCATAGCTAATTCCAATACTCCGTATTTGTAAATAAGTATATATATATACATATATAACAATTCAATGTATGTATATGTACATATACATAAATATAAAATTTCAACAATTCATATCGGTACAATTCAATTCTATATACATGTGTGCATACACATGTGTATCTAAAAAGTTCAACAATTTGCCTAGGATGTATAATATAAGTATTTAATAAGATGCCAATTGTGAAGTCCCTTAGTGAAGGACTTGGGGTCTTCACACCCCCCCCCCCCCCCCCCCCCCTTCCTTTACTTCCCTCTGGGCGCGTGATCGTCACCATCACCGCGCCTGTAATGCGTACTCGGTACCCAATGTTTGGCGTCTTCTTGGTTGCCGTTGAAGCCGCTCTTCGATTATTCTAACTAGTTCTTTTGGTCACGGGTTTGTGCCGCTAAAATTTCGCCAGCTCTGGTATTGCTGCTGGCTGTTCTGCATCTTTCTGCAACCATCGCTCGTTTAATCACTGCTCCAACCCGCGGTCTTCCTCCACCGACAGGGTGAGCGCATTCTCCTCATCGCTGCCATCTTCATCTCTTGTGTTCGCTGTTTCTTCTCTCGTCACAACAACGCACAACGACTGCGCAGGCGGTTGACACCACCATTCAGGGCTCTGTGGCGCCCGTTGAAAATGCGGATCGTCATTGTGATGCGCCGAACGAATTCAACATAGCCTTCACCTGGACATTGGTAGTCCTCCTGGTAAAAGTTTATTTCACCCCTGCGAGGTTCGTCATTGCTGTCATCAGAAAGCTCGGTCGGCGTGGGCGCTCTTACTACATCGCCTAGGTGCCAGTCGTCGTCGTTGTCATTACTATCACTGCATACTTCTGCTGGCGTAAATTTATCGCTACCCGCCTCGCTGCCTGCTGCTGAACTCCGAGTCGTGTAGTCTCTTGGGTTCCATGATACAGAACTCTAGCACCCCTCATCACTCGCACCGCTGTTTCTGCTTTCGCGAACGTATATCTCTGTGCTGGCCAGACGTGCGTTGCCTTCAACGCCTTCTCCTCCACCAACGCCAGTATGCTGCCTGATTTCCGCTTCAGTCAGGCGGCGCAAACGCACTTTCAAAGTGCCGTCTTTAACGCCCATCGCCTTGAAGAGTTCGCCAGTTGCCCGCGTATCCACCGCTGCAGTCACTTTTTGAGTAGCGGGTCATTTTGCGCTGTCCATCTATTTTTTAGATTGCTAAAACAGTTGCCATCGCGCAGCAAACTGTATATTTCCAAATTTTTTATCATTTTGTTACTATTTTGTTTAAGTTATATTAGTTTATTATTGTTTTCCGCCATCTGTTGTGTTGCAATGTTGCCCACTCTCCAAAAAGGGGGATTTTTGCAGGGATCGATATGTTAATATCGGAATAGTGTTGCCAACCTGCCAAATGATGTATCCGTTTTACGATATTAATTATTAGTGGTGTATTCGTAAGCAGTGCGCCCTTCCACTCCGCAGCGCCTGGGTTCAAGCCCTGGTCAAAGCACCATCTCAAAAAAATTAAAAAAAAAGGTTTTTTCTTAACAGCGGTCGCCCCTCGTCAGGCAATGGCAAACCTCCGAGTGTACTTCTGCTATGAAAAACAGCTTCTCATGAATATACAATCGCCGTTCGGAATCGGCGTAAAACTGTAGGTCCCTCCTCTCTGTGTGACAACATCAAGGCGCACGCCACAAATCGGAGGAGAAGCTCGGCCAAACACTAACATATGTGTAAGCGCCAATCTATTATTATTATTATTATATTTGATATTATTATCATATTTGATGATATTATTCTGTGTATTAATACTTTTTATATCTATATTAATAAAAATGTTGTGTTCGTATGTCACGGTCGTCAAAACTCGAGAACGGCTGAACCGATTTGAATAATTTTTTTTTGTATAGTTCGGTATAATACCAGAACCAATGATATCGCAAAAAATTGGAGGGTTGCCACCTATTTGAAAATTTTTAAACCCAAATATATTGATAAAATAAATAAATTATTGCAATATGGGTATCACATTAAAGAGGTTTAAGAAAGGTAACTGCTGGAAATACTTTTTAGGAGGGTTGCCGCCTATTTTAAAAGTTTTAACCCAGTTAAATTGATAAAGTAAATGAAATATTGCAATGTGGGTATAAAACTAAAGAGTTTAAAGAAGGCTCACAGGCGAAAATATTTTAAAGGAGGATTGCCACCTGTTAAAAAATTTAGCGCAATTTAATTGATAAACTAAATGATATATTACAACATAGATAATCTATTAAAGAGGTTTAAGAAAAATAACTGCTGGAAATATTTTTGAGGAGGGTTGCCACCTATTTGAAAATTTTAACTCAGTCAAATTGATAAAATAAATGAAATATTGCAATGTGGGTATTCAACTTTAGAGTTTTAAGAAACCTTACAGCCGAATATATTTTTGAGGAGGGTTGTTACCTGTTGAAAATTTAACTAAATTTAATCGGTAAAATAAATGACTTATTACAATATAGGAATCAAATTAAAGAGGTCTAAAAACATGACTGCTGGAAATATTTTTGAGGGGGGTTGCAACCTATTTTAAAATTGTAACTCAGTTAAATTGATTAAATAAACGAAATATTGCAATGTGGGTATCAAACTAAATAGTTTTAAGAAGACTTGCAGTCGAAAATATGTTTGAGGAGGTTTGCCACCTGTTTGAAAATTTAACTCAATTAAATTGATAAAATAAATGGAATGTTACAATATGGGTACCAAACGAAAGGTATTTGAGAAAACTTGATTTGCAAATATTCTAAATAGGATTATGCAATATGTAAAATAAACTGAAAATATTGAAATTAAATGAAGTATTATAACTGGTTCGAAACGGAAAGTGATTGGGAAAGCTTTACTAGAGAATTTTGTTTAATGTTTCTACTTATCCAAATCCGGACAGTTTGAAAAAAGAGAATTTGCGATATCTTATCAAACGAAGTGATAAGTTGGTATACAAATTACGCAATGGAAAAAAATTAATAAAAAATTACGGATACAAAGGAAGAAATGATAAAAAACGTAACGAAAACATAAAACCATCCCGTGAAATGAAATAATTAAAACT